AACACTTGCTAGAATATTTGACCTATAAGAATCAGTTACAAAAGATATGGAATAAAGGGGCAAAAGAAATCATTAAATACTTTAAAGTATTATTGTGAAAAAGAAAGAGAAAGATTAAAAAGAAAAATTCTAGACTAATTATTGATAACAGAAAAGAAATATGATAATTTGACAAGTGAATCTCTAAAGTAGTGAAACAGACTTATAAAATCAGCCAAAATACATTAAGTTTCTGTACTGACCTTATAAGAATTGATCTTATTCTAGAAATAGTTGATCTAAAATGCCAAGGTAAATATATAGAAAGAATAGTAAGAAAGTAGATAATAAAATGCAAAAAAGAGTTTACAACCAAGTTCAAAAAGAAGTCTGGAACAAGAGATGTAAAAAGGTAAATGAATATGAATAAATATAAGAAATTAATAGAGAAAACAAGATAAAAAGATCTCTATGTCTTTCAGATAGAAAACTATAATCTTGAAAAAAAAAATTTACTACCTGAAAAAAGAAATCTTGAAGATAAAAACCTTTGAGAAATTTTAACAAAAAAAGTGAAGTATGAAATAAAATAATTGAATTTTAGTTTTATTAAAACTTTATAAAGTGATTTACAATAGTAACATATAGGCAATGAAGTTAACAGTTAGAAGAATCTTTACTTAAACTGCTAATGAAGTGATAAATCACTTTTGAAGTTGCACTTAGAGTTTTAATAATTCTTAAAATAGAAATGAGTGAATTAGGTAGAGACTTAACTTTAGTGATACATTTTTCAATATAAAATGTATATATGTTTAATAAAGTATCATATCTAGCCTAACAGAAGGTTTTTAAAAAAAATTAATATTTATTATTTTGCTATTTAAATTTGTTTACTTTGTTATTTTAATTTTATTGATTAATTAATTAATTTATTATCTAATTTATTAATATTTATTACTTTACTATCTAAATTTGTTTACTTTGTTATTTTAATTCTATTATTTAATTAATTTTTTTTTTTTTTTTTTTATAATTGCCAGCTCAACATATTTATTAGTATTAATAAAGAGAAATTCAAAATTATATTGAAAGTATCATAAGTATTATAAGACTAATTAAACTATCTAAAACCAAACAGTTTACCGGATTGCTTTTTACTGCTCCACCAACAAGGGAGGAGGAGACTAGTCTAAGTTTACCTTGCAGTTAGTGCAAAAATTATTGGAAGAAATGAAACAGGTGCTGTTGTGTAAGAACTAAGGTTTTTTCTACTATTGACTATCCACTGAGACTAATGCCAAGGAGAAATCAACATCTACAAATTATCCACTGAAGTGCTGTGTCTTTTCATCTTTGAAAGAGAGAAAAAGGGGAGCATTCTTCTTCTGGCTGGAGAGGAGTATGGTTTCAGATGCCAGTTTTATTAATGTTATTTTATCTGGTATTCTGCCTAAGGAATTACTCATCCAAAGATTGAGTGGAACCTATGGCTAGGAGGGACCTTAAAACTATGGTGGGTTGATGACCTAGTTCTAGAGATAATATCAGCTTCAAGCATGAGCTGCTTATTTAAAAAGGCACAACTCTTCCAAAGTCATGCTAAGTTTTTAGTGGGTCTTTCAATCTGACAGTCATTTCCAACTAGTACTTTTACCAGGAGTAAGATTGGTGGGTGCCACTAGCAGTCTTAATGGTTATATGGAAGGGGGAGTTATGTTAAAAATCTTGATATGAGTCATCAGTTTATGATTCTTCTTTTGTGGAGCCTGTTGTGTCTCTTGGTCTTGCTTGTTTCTTGTTCAAGGCTTGGTTCTGTATTTTGAATGTCGTGCTTTCTTGGGGGCTTGTAATGTTCCTTCAGCATCGCACCAGGCTGAATTTGTCTTGTCGTGGGCATGTTAGGTTACTTTTATCAATGCACGAGTCCTTATGTCTATGGGCTTGTCCTTTCTCTCTTTTTCCCTTCTTCTGTGATATAGGAGATAGCTGTGTCTTGTATCCACTCACATGGCAATCTGACTTATAGTGGATCCAGGTTCTTATGGAGCTGAGGAAATGCATTCAGACACATGAGGTGATCAATAGGAGCTTGTTTATCAATCTGATCCAACGTGTTTTATGTCAACCAATAATAATCAGTAGAATTTGTGCTACCCTAGAATTCAGGGTCAAATTGAGATAGACAAAATTTTTTAGAAAGCCGTGAAGTGGGAGCTCTTAGAGGCCAAAGACCCAGTCAAGGGGAAAATATGAGTCCTTTATTGGCAATAACACCTTTCTCGTAACCTGTTTTGTTCGTCCACTTCAACAGAGTGGTATTAGGTATTGCACTGGTGGTCTTCTTCCTTTAGTAACTTTCTTGTCATCAATAGTAAGGGTGTAAGTTGAACTTTAAGGGCCACAAAAGTTCAGTTTGCTCGAAGTTGATTGTAAACAAGATAAGAAGGATGTGGGTGACTTCTGAAGGTTCCTTCAGGTTGGATTAAGAAGAATGTTAAGACTTTATTAGCATAGAAGTATTAAAACTTCTTGCGAACGTCTTTTTTGGGTGTGGTCAGAAAATCAGCAGAAAGAGTACTATTATTTAATTAATTTATTTATTATCTAAATTATTAATATTTATTATCTAAATTTGTTTACTAAAAAACTCTTTTTGTTGATCCTCTAATCACACATAAAAAAATGTTCACAAGAAGTTTTTACACTTTTTTGCTAATAAAATCTTAATACTTTCTTTAAAACAACTTGAAATATGACTTCAAGAGTTGCCTCTACCCTTTTCCTTTTGTTTACAAACCTTTTTACTCAAAAACTTGACTTCTAGTGATCAAGAAAAGTCAAGTAATACCTTTGATATCAATAATAAAAAAAGTTCTCAAAGGAAAAAGAACTGACTGTGAAGTATTTAAAGGTTTATCTAACCTTTGAAGTGAAAGGTTTATAGAGGTTTTTTGTAGTAAAAAGATTTATTTTCTCCTTTTTTAACTATTTTGACTCTCTTAGAGCTTCTACTTTTATGGTTTTTTGGAAAATTTTATCTATTTCAATTTGACCTTGAATTTTAAATAGCACAAATCCTTATCAAAGATGATAGACTAATATGAAACACATTAGTTTTTGAAATGTAAATAAGCTTCTATTGATTATATTCCTATGTTCTGATAATGTTATTGATAATTGGAAAAAAAGTTTCAAAAATATTTGTCTCCAAAAAGTTTAAGTCCCTTAATGAAGACTTCGATGACACTAAAAGATCAAGCAATAGGTAATGTTAATTAAAAATCCCATCTCTTACCTAAGTTTCTTAAGTAGTAACAAAGTTTTAATAAAAAAAAGCTGAGATTTAAATGCTTTCCTTGAGATATCCCAATTCAATACTTATTTAAATAAAAAATCAGTTGGATTGATTTATCTGATGTCACAGGTGGTGAAAAAAAAGATTTCTTTCGAGGTTTAAATGAAGTAAGAAGACTATTTCAATTAGGCAGAACTCTTTTGAGAAGAGATTATTTTTATTTTTAGAATTTTTTAGTGAGCCTTGAATTGTTTTCTTTTTCTAATCATTTTTCCTCTTCTCTTTTTTAACTTAGTAATTCATTGATTTTCAGGTAATCAACCATGACAAACTGTTAATAGAGATTCTGATAGATAAAGGTTATTATTAATATATAGTATTAGGGAAGTGTAATATTGTCTTCAAAATTTAACTTAGAGTACTTTTGTATGATGACAAGTTAGTCACTTTGTGAAAGTCTGTAAAATATTATAGATTTACTTCAATTTTTCAATAAAGACAAGCCATCATGGCATGATTACAGGTTAAAAAAAAAAAAAAAAAATCTAAATTTGTTTACTTTGTTAACTAATTTTTATTATTTAATTAATCAATTATTTATTTAAATTTATCATATTTAATTATTTTGTTATCTAAATTTATTTACTTTATCTAAATTTATTTATTTGTTATCTAAATTTATTTACTTTAGTATCTAAATTATAATGATAAAATTAATTAATTTATTATTTAAATTTATCACATTTATTTTATTATCTAATTATTTACTTGTAATTTAAATTTCAAATTCCGAAACCAAAACACAAAGATTAAAACTCCGAAACAACGGCTTACAATTTCCGAATTCCTATGTGCCGGCATATTACCCTGGAAGTATATAATTATTACAGTACGGAAATTTCATGAAAATGCGGCTGCACGTATACTGTACAACGTACCTCCCATGTCTTTATTTTGGGGAAAAAAATCTCTGCTGCGTATACACATTTTGATAAGTGTAACAATCGTTTGGGTGCTTACAAAATTTTCTCATGCTGTGTTATGGGTCACAGAAAACCATTGAATAGGTAATACAAGAACTCCCAAAAACCATGGATTGTTCCACATGATTATATTATTGCTTCCGATCGCCTTTACGTAAAAACTCGCAAGCACCTATGGTTCTGCGCACTAAAGAGAAGGACTTACTTGTGAATACTTTCTTAGTCGTAGCCATTGGTCCAAGGTCTTTTATTGCCTATATTGTAGCTGTAGTTCGGTGTTTAATAGGAATGTGATCTTGAAAATTTCCCTTCTCCCACTGCACACCAAAATTTTGAGCTGGTGCGTGGCATTTCATGCATGGAATTGAGAAAAATGTTAAATTTCGTAAATTAAATGCATGACGCAAATAATAATATCGGCAGAGTGGTGCGTTTCGTGAAACTTGACTGTGGCGAGTAACCTTAGAATGGATATGGATATCAAACCCTCGTCCTCCTAAAAACAGTGTGGTTCACTTCATCGTATTTTTAAAGAAATACTTAATGGCGTGCTCTTTACGGTTTTCCTCAATGAAGTTCTATTCATCCCGGGAGACCAAGGATACCATTTAAAACCCATATTCGGAAATGCGAGTGAACCTATAAATACAGCCAAGTGTGACTTTCTTCGAAAACTCCATAGTTCGCTTCCTCTAAAGTGAAAAATTGGGCACCGACTTTCGGAAATTACGAGTAAGAAAATGAGCGAACAATTTCAAGTTAGCTTTGTCTTTATTAATTCTAATGATTCCATGATGGCAAGTCGAGTTATCAGTGATGCTCAGCCACTCATTAAACTCCCATTCCCACCAATGATAGATCCACATGACCTGATTGTTTCGCGCCCCGATGGTCGCGAACCATCGAAAGCGCCAAACGCTTTTATTATCTATCGAAAATTGTTTAATAAAACTGCAAAAGATAACGGGTATACCCTCCCAATGTCCGTGATTTCTCCTATAGCCTCGAAATCATGGGAACAAGAGTCCGAGATGGTTAAAAATGAATATAGAAGAATCGCAAGAGAAGCATTCTTATACCGAAGTGAGATCTGTCCTAAACCTAAACGTGAAGGAAAAAAGAGATGGAATATTGTCTCATTCGCTCATTCCGAGCAGAAAACGTCCCGAAAAGTCAAGTCTCAAAAGTCAATCGACACGACCTCCACACCAACTTTACCCTCACAAATTTCCGAAAATGAACTCACTTCAACCAAACCTACCGTTAATTCGCCAATCTCAGATTTAGATTTGTTTGATGATTGGGAGAATTTCTTATACCCCCATCCAAACTTGCCAACTGAAGGTGCCAGCGGAAATAACACACCCAAAATCGATTCACCACAAACATTCGTCGAAACTAAAGAACAACGATGTGATGATATCGTAATCAACGCCCAACATGCCACCTTCGATGACTCTCACGGAATTTGGATTCTTGATCCAAAGTATTTGAATAATTTTGATACCTCTCTCTCGAGTGATTTCTATGAACTCCAGCCAACTTTCCCTAATTCGTTGGATGTCACATCGGTGCCAGCGGATCTTGACATTCCAACGTTGTCTCACAATGCTGACTTGAATGGTCTCTATTATTTCTAAAAAAAAAAAAAAAAAAGAACACTATAAGTTTTAAATGGTGACACCGTACACTATTTAGTATTTATTAAGATACGAAATCATTCAATGCTTTTATATGATCTATGCCAATATGTTTTAAGAAAAGCATGATTTTTTTACTTTTAAGATTAATATTTGTGAAGAGAAGGAAGAGAACGAACATTGTCTGGGTAGAAGGGGCATTAGAATTTCATTAATTATTTGCCTTCAACAATCACTTGTATATTAGCGAACTGTTTTAGCAAAACTATTCATCTTACTTATCACATAAACGAACGGGAAACATCTTTAAAATTCAATTTACAGTACGTCGCTTTGAATGCACTGTACACACCGCCGTGAATATAACACATTCAAAAATGACACGTGATTTTAGGAATAGTTGAATATTTTTTAAATATAGAAATTGTATATCGTTAATATTGTCCGGTGTGGTCTTTAAAAAAAAAAAAAAAGTAAAAAAGCTGTTGCAATAAGTTATGTCAAAGTTGTAATAATCAATCTTATAAATAGGTCTTATAAAAATATTATTATTGGAACTAACTAGTATTTTTGAAAGTTTCGCATTTTAATTACATACAATACGTAAAATAGATCATATTCTTTAAATAATGTAGACCTTACAAATCATTAACTAATATGTATAATGTACAATTTTGGTTTGCTTAACTTTATATATATATAGTATATTAAAAAAAGTAAAAAATTTTTTAACTTTTATTATAATATTAAAAAAAAATTAAAAAATAAACAATTGAAAATTAAAAACTATTATATTTAAACAAAATTTTAACTAACATAATATACAGTAGTAACAATTATTTATATTACATATAGTTTTTTTTAAATACTAGCTCATTTATACACCATGGCATGTATTTTATTATAATAAAGATAATATTTAGGAACAACCAAAATGAATAATTATCCATATTGTCTAAGGATTTACTGATCACTAAATAGTATAAAAAGCAAACTATTTACATTTCACTCAACCAGAATAGAATAATTATATGATCATCTAGTATAGGTACTTCTTTTTACTATAACAAATTAGCTAGAAAATAAAGATCTAGACTTGATACATCACAATACTCTCTAGAATCTAGAACTCTGAGTGGCTTATTACTATCATCTGAAGAAAAAAGCTAATGTATCAAGGATTTACTTAAAGTACTTAATACTATCAATATTAAAAATACTTCATATAAAGTCTTAACTTCACTAATATTAAAATCAAAAAATTTTAAAGAGAAAAAGGATGTATACAGATATTATCATAAGAATATTAATTGTTAATTAATAGTATTATCAGTTTATAATGAAATAGTAAGTAGATCAAAACTATCCAAAAGGATAATATTCAAGTTATCAAATTATAATTGTTGGATAGAAGAGAAAAGTGATATTTTTGTTATCTATTCAATGTATCTTATTTCAGCTTATTCTTTTTTAATAGTCATTGATATAAAAGGTTGCATATTCTGTATTAATTTATATCAAAGTAATAATGATTTATAATAAAATCCAGATTATTATAAGTATTGAAAAATATATATTCAAATACATAATATGACCAATAAAAGCTTGTTTATTTTTTTTTATTAATGTGAACTTTATTTGTCCAATTATAGTAGAAGAAATTTTGTGTTATTCTAAATTTAGAATCAAATTGAGATAGGTAAAATTCCTTAAAAAAAATCTAGAAATAAGCCTTATTAGAGTATAACAAATGACTAAGAGAGTGAAAAAGTTGTTTCTTATCACTACAAATACTTTTTATTGTTTCTCTATAATATAAAATAATTGCTTATTAGTTCTTTTTTCTTTAAAACTTTTTTACTATAAATAAGAGAATTGTTTGACTTTTTGATTATTAACAATTAAGTTTTTATTTAAAAAAAAGTATTAATAAAAGAAAAGGATAAAAATAACTTTTAAAGTTTTCTTCAAGTAAATTTAAAAGAAAGTAATAAGACTTTATTAGTACAAAAGTATAAAAACTTTTTATAAATATCTTTTTTTTGTATATAATTAAAAAATTAATAAAAAGAGTATATACAATATATTTTTTTTAATTTTTTTATTTTTAAAAAAACTGACTCATCCTTACTTAATTTGTTAAAAGTATTGATTATTTATATTTTATATACATTTATAAATTAACTTTTACTTACAAATTTAGCTATCTAAAAAGAACTTGCTATTTTTTTGCCAATTGATCTATTACCATCCCTTAAAGATCTAATACATCAAAGAAACTATATTAATATAAATATACAAAGATAAAAGAAATAATAGAAAAGAAATTTGTGTTTTTCAAAAAATAATTATTTATATACTGGTTAATCAGATCTATATATTAGTCTTTAATTATATTATTTTAAAGAGTGTATATATCTTTTTATTGAGCTTTTCTATCTTTTCTCTCAAATTCCAATAATTTTGCTTTTTTTTTTCTTATAATATCTTGAATTTGTTTTTAATGATTGACCAAAAGACATCTATCTAGTTAAACTTTTTTTAAGTATATTTTAAATTCTCTAATTATTTTTGTTATACTGTTTATAGTAATATTTTCTTTTTTTGATAGTTTATAATTTTATTATTTAACTCTTTATTGATTGTTCTTTTTATTAATTTTTTTATAGTATAGTTATATATTGTTATGGATCACGTGGAGGACGTGATTTATGTGTAATGGTCTAGAATTCAAAAACCTGAAAGTTTGATAAGAAAGATTAAATGTCACAAGGTAAGAAACTATAGATAAGGCTTGGATACTGATAAGGGAACTGTGTGTATCTGAAAAGTATAGAAAGTTTAGCAAAGCTTAGGGTTAGTATAGCCGATTATAAAGTAAATAGCCATTGTTAGATAGAAAAGTATAAATAGCTTATCAATGTATATTGAAAAGGTAGAGCTGAATGAGTTAGGAAAAACAGTTTTCATTAAGAATAGAGATAAGAGTTAGTGATATACCAAAGAAACAGGATGCAATAAAGAGACACTTACCTTCAACCAAGTCAATCACCACATCTCTGCCTTCTCTAAGTGTTCTTTATAGGAGGCATTCCCTTCTTTGTATCATTTGTGAGTATTTTTGAGAAGTTGGGTTATACGAGGCACTACAGATTAGCGACGGACTCATTAGGATAGCCCATGACAACATATTTATATATTTTAAAATATAATAAAATAAAATCAATTATTATCAATCATCAAACTATTAGGTGTTGACTTATTGATCTTCAATTTCTTTGATTTATGCTCATTCGGATCTTCTATCTCTTGATCACATTTTTTTATCTACTGTTCTTTCAACCTCTTGTATTTATCACCTTTCCAATACTTGTTATGTATTAACAATGAATTATCAACAATCTTATAATATCCATCAATAATATATAATACATTAATCTCTACCTTCAAATATATATTTCTATTCTTCTTATATAAATCAGATATCTGATTATTATACACGTATTGCTTCACATTTTTCAATGAAATACTTTTAAAAAACTTGATATCAAATCTTCCACCAACAAATTCATTCATATCTCTATTCTCAAATATTCATTTGATATATCCTTTAAATTAATCTCTCTTCAAATTAATTATACTGTATAACTATGAGAATAATCAGCTGATCTATCAAATCTTTGATACAATGTCTTTTGATGTCTCAGATTCTTCTTCTATTTTTCATTGAACTTATATATTCCTTCAAATTTATAGATATTATCAAATAAAAAATTGGATATCAATATGTTAAACTTGAATATCACATTCACCAGTAACTTGAATTTTCTAGGAATTACAACCATTTCTCCTTTACAAATATTCAAGAGATCCTCATATTTTATCAAATTGTAACTAAATTCTTTTATGGCAATATACAATTGATTCTCATATTTATTAAAATACTGTACTTAACATCCCTTGATTTGAAATATATATCTCCTTCACCTAATAACAATCCAACAAATTTGCATGAAATTGTTATCTTTTCAGTGTTTGAATCTTTATAAAAGAAAAAATTATAAGAAAAGAATCTTTTTTCCAAAATTTGATTTGTCAACTCTTTTTCACTTATATTTTCTATTATCTTTAAAGCCACATATATTGATTGAGTTATCAGTTCCTTATTGTCAATAATATTAAGAATCTTTTTTCTCATGATCAATTGATCAGTCCTAATTTTATTATGAGATTCAGTAATAATTTCTTGATCTCTCAATAAAGCATTCTAAAGATCTCTCTTGACCCCTTTTTCATGTTCAACGGAAATATCTATCTCAATCCATCAAGTTACAGGATTAATGCTTCTATTATATTATGCTAATATATAATACTGTACACAACTTTTTATCACATTTTGAACAAAACTTTAACAAATCAAAATAGTTACATTTGCACTTATAATAACTGCATCTTAATGTTCTATCTTCATTTGAACAATTTGACTTGTGCTTATAAAACTTGCATTTATTGTAAATCTCTTGCAATAAAGAATACAATCCATCTTATTCTTGATATTTGCAAATTCTATATGCATTGAATGAAACTTAAAGATTCCCATTATTCCTTTTGAAATTGTTTTTTTACAAGTTTTCTTTAACAGAATTCCATTCTCATTCATTATGAATTACCCTTTTATATTTTTTGAAATTTCTCAATGCTCGCTTCACATACTCTTTGCCTTGCTCTTATAATATCCAATAATATGCTGCTCAAAAAATTGAATGTATCCCTGTATATGAAGACCCTCAAGTCCTGTATTCTCAAATTGAAATACCATATATTGAATTTTATCTCGATTACTTTAATATATATCTTTAATCTTTTGATTATATATTTTAATAAACTCTTGTTCAATTAAAGATGGAGCCTCATCAAACATGAACAATGTGAAATTGCAATAATGAAATCAATCATGTTTTTTATCTTTTGATCGTATTTTATTTTAATTTTATCAAATCAATAATCATTTATTTTTATACTTTATTTCTATATGCTTATTAAAATTTTATTTGCAAATTTACATCTAATCTGATTTCATTCGCAAAATCAAAAATTTATAATCCTCAAGACAAAAATCTAATCACAAC